TTTTTTTTTTTTTTTTTTTTTGGGAAAAATTTGTATCCAAGCATCCCCTGACTAGCTAGCTAGTCAAGGGGTGATTGAACATATGGGGTGATTGAACATATGTTATTTGGTGTTGATTTAATTTGTTGTTAATTAGAGTTAATTTTAAAAAAGTTGATGAAGTTACGTTTGAACGAGATTTTGGTTATGTATTAAATAGTATTTAAAATATAATTATCAAAGTTGATTTGAAATAAAAGTATGAGAAAAGTGATTGAAAGTGATGAATAATTAAAATTATATGAGTAAAATGAATAGTGAATTAAGATTGATGTGATATATGAAGATGATTGATTGATATTATTTAATTATACTGATAATATTGACGAGAGTTGAGTTGAATTTAAGTTAAATTCTGAATAATTAAAAGAAATCAGGTAAAAAATTGACTAGATATCTTATAAACAATGAGGCCCAATCAGGCCCAAGTGTCCAACATACAATAAAGGAAAACTGAGTGGTACTAAAAAAAGATGGAAAAACAAAATTTGCAACATTTTTTTGTAGCTTTTCTTTTGTGCTTTTGAAACCTCATTTCTGTTCGAGCAAAATACAACTTCAAGTTCACGTACAATTATTTAGTGCTTTTGAAACCTAATTTTTTATTATAATTTTTATTTTAGAATAAATAACTTGAGCAAAAAATTCTTACAATATAATATTGTACGTTTATGTAACTTTCATATATCATTTAGTGTAAAATATAATTATTAATTTTAATAATAACTATTATAAAATTCAATTAAAAAAAACTATAATTATTACTCAGTTAATATAAAATTTAGCAGTTTTTGACTTATTAGTTAACAAAAGAAAAGGTGCAATTAAATATTTTATTATTAATGAGATAAGGTAGATTAATGCCACATACTACGTAATATCCATTAGCTTTGATTTATTACGTTTGATTTAATGATTTACCACGTAGGTAAAATTTATCATGTGTTCTATCAATGACTTGCTAGCAATTATATATATATATATATATATAGATTAATTTATTCAGGTAAAATGGTCACCTTTATGTTTATATATCAAAGGAGGAATAGATTCTATGGACTCCTTACTTTACATGGAATATTAATGCATGCTGGGTTTTTGTTGTGTAATAATAATAATAATAATAATAATAATAATAATAATAATAATAATAATAATAATAATAATAATAATAATAATAATAATAATAATAATAATAATAATAATACACTAAGCCCTAGTTTTTTCCTCATCAAGAAATTAATGCTTTAATTGTAATTTTATTATTAATGTTTATTGTTATTTATTTTTTTACCTTAGTAACACTGCAAGAAAGAAAGTTATAACAGGGAGGGTATTGGAAGTTGCAGCCCCCAATGATGCTGATGTGTACTTCAAACCTACACCAACAATGTCTAAGCTCATTGTAATCCTGCAAATCACAAAACAATGCCACAAAAACATTTAACATAATACAAATAAATGTATATATTAAGCCAAACATAGCTAACTAATTAAGACTATATATATACCCAAATAGACTAAGCATGAAAATCTTGATGAAGATCGAGAACGACAATGGTGGAGCGCTTTTCCTGCAAATTAACCGAAATCGATCACTATACATCTTTTGCAACCAAAATTGTCACAATATTAAATAAAGAAGACTCGGATTATCTAGCATATAACATAAATTATTAACGAAGACCGATATTTCTATTTTAAAAGTTTTTTTGTTTTTTTGTTTTTTTGTTTCTAGCTAGCATGCGTACCGTTCCATGAAGATGGCAATAGGGGCTAAGAAAAGTGTTGCGCTTGCTTGTCTGTAGAAAACGAACACAAAAGTGTTCATTCCCACATCGAATGCAAGCTTTGTCAGCAAGAAATAGCCCGCGTAAATTACTTGTATGAGAAGAACCGCCAACAATGGCTTAGTTTCTCCCATTGATTATATATCTCTCTCACTATATAGGTGAACTAATGTCTAGAAAGATTTGTTATGTTACACATAAACTTGAGGATGTAGGGTTATATATAGAGGTGGGGCTCTCCAAAGTTTTAACAAAGGCCACAAATAGTTAAAAAGTGTAAGGATCACCAAAAGAGGGTATTAGAACCGGGGAAGAGAGTGCGGTTCCACCAAGTGAAGCACACCATAAGAGGATGAGCCTAGGTGCACCTTAGTGAGATTTCATCCCAAAACCAATTGGTGATGAGAGGAGTAGCTCACTAGGCTTATATACTAGACTCATTTTCCCTATAGAATCAATGTGAGGGAACTCACAAGTGATATTTCAACAGAGGGTGCAGTGCAACGCAGTGAAGCGCACCATAAGAGAGTGCACCCAGGTGCACCTTAGTGAGATTTCCTCCTAAAATTAGTTGGTGGTTAGTGTTCTAAAAGTCGTTAGGCGTCCGCTAGGCGCTCGACCAGCGCCTAGACGGGCCTAGAAATCAATATTAAATACCTTTTTATATATATATTTTAACTACCTACAAAATAAAACTATCTCAACCTATAATAAATCGACACACTAAAATCCAAATAATAAAATTAATATATTTTAAAGAAAACATGAAAACAAAATAATGCAATTAGCATTTAAAAAATATAAAAAAAACTGAAAATTTGTCGCCGAGCCCGCCTAGACGCCGCCTAACCGCCTGTCAGTCGAGACCGCCAAGTCCGCCTAGGAGTGCTAGGGCCGTCTAACAGATTTTTTCTGCCGATTTGTGCAAATCGGAGAAGTCCGGACGCTGCCTAGGCCGACTTTTAGAATAATGTTGGTGATAAGAGTAGCACACCAAACTTATAAACTAGACTCATTCTTTTAAAATAGTTAATATCACTACAAAAAAATTGTTATATTCCAACGGAAAATCCTATGCTAATATATACCAATGAAAATGCCAACGGATATTCCAATTGTATAGCTTCTGTTGGAATGATTCAAACAGAAATTCCATTGGAAATATTCCGTTGGAATGTGTTTTTCATTGGAATTTTAGATGAAATTTGATAATTCCAACGGCTTTTTACCGTTGGAATATGCAATTTCCGTTGGAATTTTTATTTTCAACCGCGTTGGAAAATCTACTGTTGGGATCGTCAAAATCCAACGGAAATTCCAATGAAAAACTCATTCCAACAGAATTTTTCTGTTCGAATTTTCGTTGGAATCCATTGAAAAATTCTAACGAAAATAATAGCATTGAAATATTCATTGGAATGCCGTTGGAATAATTCTATTAGAATATATTTTGATTGAAATATCATCATTTTCTTGTAGTGGTATGATACAACTCACATATATTTAAAAAAAAAAATTGTCGTGGTGGAAAGCAACAAATTAATGGGTGAGCAGTAGCAATCAATTGACTGAAATAATATGAATGTTTCAATCAACTTTACAATAGTGAAAAAGCGTGGTAATGAGCAACCCAAAAAGCTATAATGATTAAAATATTTCTATCTATAATAAGGTGAAATAATAAAATATCAACATGCCATATTTACCTAGTAATTTTTGCATGTCCACTGATTATATAAACGAAACACTGGGTAGACGTGTCCCCTAATAAAAATCAAACACAATATTTTCACAAATGCAAAAATTATGCAAAAACTAATCCTGATTAATTACAAAGTATGTTTCATGGCTAATAACAAAATACGTCCATTTATGTATTTAGGCAAAATAATTTAAATTTTATTAGTTAATTAATTACTTGTTATTTTCTACAAATGCAGTAAATATATTGGCAGCAAGTAATTATCTATCCAAAATAATTGAACATTCCTAAATGGACCAATTATATAAAATTAGATTTGACTTCTGTTACGTTGTAGCACTTAGAATATCTTGGTGGACCGCCCTAAGTAGTTAGCTCGAGTGCGGATGGTTCAAGGGAGTTTTAGCTCGGTTTCAGTGCTCAACTTCGCCAGGGAGTCGGCGTAACTCAGGGCACGGGTTGACTTGAATAGAGAGCTTGGAGGTCGGGCTCCTTCAGGAGATTGGACAGACAAAGAGACCTCATATTCCGGAGGTCGTAAATATGAAGGTCGTGGTACAACCTAGTTATAATTCGGAGAGTTAGCTCTGGTGCCAAACGTTTTAAGGTGGCAGAACTCCAAGCAGGTAGCTCGGAGATCACAGGGGAAAGGGTAGTGCAAAGTTAGCCCGGGAGTCATAATTGCACGCAAGAGGCAACAGAACTCCGACGTAGTAGATCGTGGGGCCCAGACGATCCCCGGACATCGACGTCATAGACTTAGCCAGTGTATAATTGTTCTACTCTCAGATGACTTCTACAAACAAGCTCGTCCAGAGTGAGGGGCTAGATAATGTAGCACTCAGAACAACTCAGTAGGACTGCCTGAGCGTTTAGCTCGGGTACGGCCGGTCCAAGGGAGC